AAAAAAAGTAATAAATACTCAGTTAACCAGTTAATTTAAAGCCTGAACAAATTTTGTTTTTTTTAATTTGCTCTCACTTTGATGAAAATGATATCAATCTAAGGAATTAAACTGATATCAATGAAAAATTTACAACTAGAATATCATATGCATATAATTTAGGTATATAAATTTTCATAAAGGAACTATACCTTTGTAATCATCAAAGATCTGTTCATACATTTTACAGTTACTAAGACAAAAGATAAAACTAATATATTTTTGAAAGATTTAAAACACGTTGAAGCAGTGTATGTTTTATTCAATTACTTACATTTTTAAAGTAAAAGGAATATAATTTTTATTTGTCATACTTGTTAATCTAGGTTTTTAAATTTCAATTTCAAGAAACAGTGTATATGTTGGATATATAAAATAATTCGTATAAACTGACATTGAAAGGAAATGTTAGTATCTAAATAGAATATAGAAGCTACTTGTATTAAGAAAGTGCAGAGTCTTCTGCTGCTTAAATCCTTAGGCCACTTCTCTATATAAGCTAAAAAATATATCTTTATTTTTTCTTGCAAGTTTTCAAGGTTTTAACTTAATTGCCTTTTCCAGAATAGTTATTAGCTATTGTCTTCTACAATGCATGTTCAAGCCAAATTTAGAACAAAACAACAGATTAAAATAACTACAGCTAGTCAAATTTGCCCCTGCATTACTTCCTCTTGCCACTGTCCCCAATTTTTAATTAGTTTATGCTTCAGTTAAATTTCAGATTGGGTGGGTACTTGGGGATTTTTGTTTCTTGGGAGTTGGTTGGTTGGTTGGTTGGTTGGTTGGTTTTTTTTCGCCTTTGTGTGTTCTTTGCTCCACAACGAAAATTTTAACCTTGAGTATGTAGTTAAGTCTTGTCAGGCATAACAAGTCTTGATAACTTGATATCAGAAAAATATGGTAGCTTTTCAATTAAAAGTGTGGATTGTTTTTCAAGTGTACAAATGTTTTTAACAATTCTTCTTAAATTTATTTTGTGGGTCATGTTGTCTAATTGCATTTAACATTAAAAAGTAATAATATGGTAATAGAAGGGGTAACAGGGAAAATGGTAGCTATTTTATATTCTCAGTTAAAACTTATTAGTTCAACCTTATTTATTTCAGACCTTAGTGCTCTGTATAGTTTGGCAAGTAATCATTCGCGCTGGAGTAATTGTTTTGTTTTGTTTCTATTAGGAATCATTGGAGAGGCAGATAAAACACCCAAAGTGCCTTATTGCGGATCTGAGCAAACCTGAGGTAAATACTTTGTAGGTTTAAGAGAGGCAGCAGAGTGGGGATGGAGATTGATAAGAGATTATAAAGTTAAAAGGGAGTAACTATGTATGTACCTTTTTTGTCAGATTTCCTTAATAAAGGTTGTATTCACATGTGTAAAGTTGACTCCCAAGAATTAAAATGGGACTTTATATTATGGAAAAATGTTAGAATAATAGGAAAAAGTTTTACTATTATAATGATATGCCAGCTTTGATAGTTAAAAGGCAATTTCAATAATTTATGCAAAGGTGATCTTATTAAAAGATTTTCTGAATCATGTAGTTTTGTATAATAACTATTTTTCCCAGAAAACCTTGGAAGCATTTATTTTATTTTTTTGTAATCACTAGATATAATTTTGTAGCAGTGAATGCATTTGTGATAAAGAGTCATATTAAGTTTCCAAATTTGTAAATGTTGGTAAGGAAAAAGAATTAGATGATCTTGTACAAATGTTAAATTGCTGTTTTTCAGTTGATTTTACTCTAAATTTTATATAAATAACTAGTAAAAACTAGTCATACCACCTGGAATTGAGACTTAGAACTATTGCTTGAATGTTGTTTTATTGCCTTGATGTCAAATCATTTAACTTCTTCAAGCCTCAGCTTCCTCCTCTGTTAAATAGAGATAATAGTATTAAGCTAATTCATTTATTGTAAGGATTAAATTAAATAATATTTTTAAAATATTAGCACAGTGTCTGGCACATATTACATTGACCAATTTTTAATGTTCTGAATAGGCACCTTTAGAGATTCATACAGCTATGCTTGCATTGGACCAGTTTCAAGAGAACTACAGTCGCAAGCCAAATATTGGGTAATGTCCCTTTTTTTCTTATTATAAAAGCAGTATTTCAGAAATTATAGGTTAAAAAATTTAAAAAGTAATTAAGCCTCTTATAATTGCAACACCAGTAAATACAATAAACTGTATAATCATTTATTATGATCTCCTGGTCTTTTTTCTGGTGGGAGTAGAGACATTAATTTATAAAATTGGGATTATATTAAATAAAATTTTTTCCCATTTTGAAGTTGTAAAAATCTATAACTTCTGAAATAAAACATCTGAGAATATTGAATTATGAATCCACTATGTAATATTTTACCCTTTAGCCTATTAAGTCAGAAGTATCGTTGCCAAAGATTTTTGCCTTATATGTTTAAAACTTAATCTTATTTACCGTATTTTCCCATGTATAAGACTCACCCTTTTTGGGAAAATTTGGGGTCTAAAAACTGGGTGCATCTTATACAGTGGTTGTAGATCATTGTCAAGTCATTTAAGAAGTGTGGCATTTCAAATGCCATAGATGAAACTGAGTACGAGGCCATATATGAAGACAGTAATTTGTCATCAGACACAGATGAGGACAAGCTAATGGTGGGAGTTTTGACAGTGATGAGTTGTATGAATTTTATGATGAATAAAACTTGAGTTCAATAACTTTATGTAATACATTTTCAAATTTCGGGCCCCCAAATTAAGGTGCGTCTTATACATGGGGAAATGCGGTATATACTGTCCTTAGGTGAGCATGATTTTGAAGTAATGTATTGTATAAGCCAGTTACCTTCAACTCAATGAAGCACTTTATGCTACCTGTTGGCAAAATTCCAC